CCCCCCCCCCCCAACGAGAAGCAGCTTCTCTGTTGATGCTTTCACAGCCAAATTAAGGCTTTAACAGCCCTGATCTATGTAGATTAGTGGCAGCTAGAAGCAGATTGATGCAGTAGAGGATGAGTCCAGGGACAGCTTGCAGCTCCTGGGTGGGCCCATGCCACTGCAGGTAAGATTCCCCTAGCCCCATTCTCCTAAATTCAGCACAGTCCCCCTCTCTCTCCCTTATCCATTCCCCCTCTCCTGCCCATGGCACAGAAATAACTGTCAACACCTCTGGGATGTTGGGTTATTTCTTGGTTTGGTATTAGGGATACTTCTTCTGAAGTAGTATCAGCCCTGCCAACAGCTTTTAGTTGCTCCCTGCTTTTATTATACCTACATCTGTGACAAAAATTGGATGCAGGATAAAGTCCCAGGCACACTGTATTCTGGTCAAATGTTTGCTGTTTTAGGCCAGTGGTTCTCAAGTGAAGTGTCATGAAATACATAAAAGTTACAGAGGGGGTGTCTTGAGCTTGAAAAAGTTAAGAACCACTGCATTAATCAGAAGTCTGATGTAAATAAGGCACAAGGGAAGAGAACAACAAAAGTACATTTGCTTCATTTCTACATAGCAGTCCCTTTGGACAATGATATCCAGAGAAATAACTAGATCAACAGGGTTAAACTTAAATTCTCCTGCTCCTGAGTCTCACCATGGACACACAGAGAAAGGCAGTAAAAGCACGAAAGAAATAATCCTATAAACAGTCCTATAATTCAGCATGATTCAATTGTAACAACAGCCAGTTATTGGTTTTCATAATTAAAAACCAACAAAGTCTTCCTTGATTAGCAACAGAGGAAGACATTAAAATATAATTTATGTTACTCTGAAAATTATACTTATTCATATTAATAAAACAGAAATGAATTCTCACCTCTTTCTCTATTTTCAGCAACTTCTTCACAGCCACCTCTTTTTCCTGTGATATCCATCGGGCTCGATAAACACTCCCAAAACTCCCTCCGCCGCAGTTTTCAAAGAACTGCAAGTCATCGAATTTAATTTGCACAAATGAAGCACTGGTAGACGACATCTCATAATGACAAAATGTTCCACAACAAAATCTGTAAGGAAAAGCTAATTAATACATCTGTTCCATGGAACAATCATATTCCTAACTACTCCAAAGAAGGAACCTACTGGAATAAAAGTTCTATAGCAAATCCACTGAACACATCAAAGGAAAATAATCCAGAAACTCACGCTCCAGCAGCCTATTCAAGCATTCATATATTTGGTGCAGACTGAAAATCAGCTGCATGGAGAGAAATAGCTAAAAATGCTCCTCAGATATATACTGGTGTTTCCTGTACATGGTGAAGTAGCTCTGCAAAAAGCAAGTGTATCACCGGGTCTCCTAACATGAAGCACTCTGACAAATGGGAAATGTGCTTTCAACTAGGAACTTGCATAGGAGTTCTGGAATCTGAAGCATGTGATCTCTCCATGTTGTGATCACTTCACACAAAATATACATAACCTAAGCAACTGAATATTCAGGCAGAAGTTCAGCTTACATCTACAGACTAAACAGCCTTCCTATGCTCAGAGGTAGAAGTACTTGCGAAAAAAGTCAAGCCAGAAAAGCTGGTCTCCTTCAGAAATGACTCCCTTTTGCTTTCATGCTGCAACAAAGCGTAAGTGTAGGACAATTTATCTTGGTTAGAATATGCACAATCCTGTTCATCCTGCCAAGAATGGATTTTACTGTTTTAAAAGATCAGACCATATCTGTTGCCAGAGGAACAGAATGTCCTTCCCATGGATTACAATGTGAAAAATCCTGTGTCTGCAGCAACATTTTTAAAAAGTTATCACCTAAGTGAGTGGACACTCACTGAGGCTGATTAGATATGTGGATTATTTTTAAGGTTTTTTTTAATAGTGGTAAGAGCTAAAAAGCTTTTAATTCTCAATTAATTATAAAACAGAGAAGATCCTACAGTTCATGTAAGTTTCCTATCAAGCTAGAAATCAGACTTGTTTACATACTAATTTGTACCAGTATAATTAACTTGGTTTGGCTGAAGCAGTGCACTATATAGGCAACCATATTTCAGCTATAGCTTACTTTGGTTCAATTTAAACTTTTTTGTAATCAACAAAAGCTAAGCCAAAACTGAACCAATTAAAACTGAAATATAAGCAATTAGAAACTTTGCGAAGGTTAAAATGATTCCTTGAGTTAAATGATGCCTTCTTGGCAGGCGTGCCATAAATTAAACCCCCCACGCTCCCCAAGTGCCACTCTGATCCCTTAGCCCTGCCTGACCTGCTTCTGTGCTTTCTGCTCCCTGGCCTGTGTTCCCAGCCCAAGCTTCTACTCTATATTCTGCTTCCTGGTGGACCTGCTGCTGTGCTCCCTGCTTCCTCCCCAAACTTCAGTGCGCCACACACAGAAGCTGCCCATGCCACTTGTGGCATGTGTGCTGTAAGTTGGCCATGCCTGGTTTAGATAAACCCTTGGGTTTTCTACAATGTTTATCAGTTTAGTATCCCAAGCATTGTATTGTTTGGAGTGCAGGGTCAAGGACAATCCTTGTTTGATGTCTGTGCAGTACCTAACAAAAAGATGCCTTGAACCTTCACCAGGGCTCCTAGGTTTACTGTAAATAAGTAAGAGGGGCTTTTGTCCCCAGCTCTGCAATGAAACTACATGAAATCTGCTACAAACTTCAGATTGAATTTCAATCACTCTTTGGTTATTGAAGATGGTGAGATGCGAAGCAACAATGGCTTTCTAATTATTGCCTAGAAACAGCACGCTGCCTTTTCTCACTTTGCTTTGTTAGTTTTAAAAATCTTTATTATCTACTAACAAAATCCAAGAGGTTAGAGATACTGGCTGACTAGACCACAATGCAACTTATAATATAAACCTCTACTGAACTGCTTTTTCAGAAGGCAAATCTGAAACAGCCCGAGAGAGAAAGGCTAAATACAGGATAAATACAGTTTATCTGTGAGTTAATGGGTTCCTTTACTCAACAATTCTTCAATGCCAAAAATATACTTTTATGACTTGGGATAAGTTTTATTTTTCTCATACATATTAAGGCCTATTCCCCTAACCTGTGTCCTCTTTGGCCACATCTATTGTTCATACAAATAAGTTTTGCTGCTTCTCTAAGCAGTACAAGTCTGCAGGAAGCTTTCTGCTATAAGCATCTTACAATCTACTGCCTTTCTCCATCTATTTAATTTTGTTTACCAGAAAAAAATCTCCAGGGCTTCAGGGGGCATTGGAATTATTCACAGGAGTAAAGTTACTTCTCTTGTTCCACTTAGAAGACTGGACTCCAAATCAGACAGAATTGCGAAGAACTGATAACTTTATTAAAATGGAGATACTAGAAGGAACAGAAAACTAGAGGAAAAGGAAAAAGCTGCTCAGAAAAGACATCACTGATTTCTTGTATTGTATTTACAATTTTATTCAATAGTTGTAATAAGATGACTTAACTATTTTAAATTAATCTAGAACCTGCAGAGCTAATAACCCATATTTTCAAAATAAGTGGCTCACTTGTATTTACAAAGATTTATTAGCGCAGAAACAAGATCAACGAAGTAAGATTTGACTGGAAATATGCCACTTACCACTTGCCAGTACACTAGAGTATGCTAGAAAGCATAATTCAGTTTTATTAATATCAAGCATCTTTTGATACACTACTTTTTTGTCTTTGTTCACACGCCAAATCCTAAATTTCAGTGAATCACAATACATCCGTCAGTCCATGAAAAGTGATGGAAATGATATTTATCCCCTCCTTTCCAATATGAAGTTTATCTACAAGTTTTGACATATCTAAGTCACTGGCATAACATACCATTAATATATTTTAAGGATGATTCACTGGTTCATACTGCATTCTTCAAAATCTATCTTCCAAAGAACACAATGAAGATATTTGCAGGTAACCATGAATACAGGTAACTGAAATTAATAGCACTGTCATGCATAAACACATCCTCTTCTGGATTAAAAAATAGACATTTTTGAATGTTACTTCATATCTATGGATACAAGATAGTTAATCCTCAATTAGAAAGATTTCTCCCTCAGAACAAAGGAATTAAAATGTTTGGAGTCACTACTTATGAGATGATTATACATACAGTTATTAATTAAACTGTCATCATGTTTTAAGAGATATTTTACAATTGTGTGGCATATCTACTCTTACATAGTGGGTCAAAAGAAAATTCCTATGTTTCATTAGGCCTGAGGCTGAATTTTTATAGTTTTGGCCTCCAAAATGCACCATTCCTCCAGTCTTGAGCAATGCATTTTCAGATTTATATCTTTCTAGTAAAAGTATTCTTCCACTGAAATAGTTTTCCATGGTAGTTCTCTTCGAAAGAAGGAAAACAGTTTCTTGAATATTCATACATCCCATAGCCCTGTCATTTTTTCAGAAACACAATACAGAAACTCTAACTGCTGTTACTGTGCTATTTCAGTGGGGTAGGCAATGTTGACGGGCTTTGTCATCTATTAAATGAAGATGGAGCAACTCAGTAAAACTGAATGACAAGCATCTGAAGTCTTTACTTGTCTCAAGTATTTTAAAGTCACCAATCACCTAGTAAAAAAAAGTTTCCTTTCCTGAATTCCAGTTTTGATTTCTAACAGTTAACATGAGTAGGAAGTCATGCAACTGGGAAACAAAGTAATCTCCTTTGTGTTCCTTTTCTCTTTATAATACATTACTGTTGTAAGGATCTCAGAAATTATTGACCTTAACACCAAAGAGAAAAGGTTCAAAAAAAACATTTTATTGTATGTTAAATTTCTATTTTGATTCCCTGACCAGGAATCTATTACTGTATATTGCTGTGTATCCCAACTTCAGCAGACCATATTAAGATTCAATATGGCTTTGAACATGCTGAACTTTTATTTACATCTGTCAACTAGCTGCTACTGTCCATATTTAACTATGGGCCCCATTCACTCATCAGTGTAAGTAATCAATACAGGGAAGATGAAGCAAAATTTCTTCCTAATTCCTTTATTGGGAATGAGACAAGAAGGGTGTTTGATCTCTCCAGCCTTTCTTCAAATATGGATATTGTGGGAACCATAGGAGACGAGAGGCACCTGCCATCAGCTTTTTTGGCCTTTACTCTTGTCACATGACCTTATCAGCACCTGCAAAGAGACATGGTTCCTGGGGCCCAGCCTGTGATGAGAAGGAATTCCCACAGCATGGGGCGAGAGGGAGAATAGCATAAATTAATTAATCCAACCTCAGGTTGTGCTGTGCTGCATTTTGGAATCTGAGAGAATCCAGCCAGTTCACTCCAACTCTTTAAAGGGCTTGTAAACTAGTGAAGCAGAACTTGCTGCTTTATAGTGCCTTGGTAAGCACTACCTACTCTTCTCATTTACTTCTCATAAAGGTAAAATGAGTTGCCATCAAACGTTTTAGAAATGAGAGACACAACAAAGTAAGATAGTTAATACAACCTGAATTTGTCTCCATTCCAAAATACCTATGCTAGGTTTGTGGATTTATAAAACAGAGTACTGATCTGCCACAACTGCACATATATCTAGAGCTATTTAAATACACAATTATTTGGCTTAATTTTAGCAATCTCATCACAATTTATTAAAGGAAACAACTAAATTATTCATTCCTTTGGCCTCATTTATGATTCTGTAAATGAGCCAAAGCAGTTTTCAGTATTTGTTTTGGTTAGGCATGCTGCCAAAGTATTGCCAATAAAGTAGTACTACACTTCTGCTATCTTAAAATACAAAGCAGAATGTTCCAAGTCTCCTTATTTGGCAAAACAGTTCCTCTGCTTTCAAAATCTTTGACCATCCATTTTTAGATTCAGATCTTCACGCTTTTATATTTTGCCTTCAGTACTCAAAACGTTCAAATATTGTACTCGCAATAGTCAACCAATGTATTTTGCATTTTGCTATTTATTTTTCTAACTGGAAAGGACGCAAGCAATCTCTATAGTAATATGTTAAACTAGGGATTACATAAAGAAATTAAGTCTGAAGAAGGTTTTTACAAATAAAATAAAGCCATTACTGTCACATAGCTTATAATAAAATTTAAAGGATAAAGTGTAGGTAGATTCCATGTATTCCTCCAAAATAATCATTTTTCTGATCTGCTTCCAATCTTTGTAATAAATTAAAATAAAAATCAACACTGTCAAGTTTCCCCAGACTTCCTAAATAAGTTTCACTAACTGGTGTAAAGTACTACAGTTCCTCAGATTTAAAAGGTGGGTTTTGCACACCGTAGCCATACAGGTACTAAGGATCTGCTATCTTTTACCTGAAAACTGAAAAAATATAGGACTCCTGTTAATTTTATTTTCAATCTTGTGCAAATAGCTGGAGTTTAAATAGCTGCTAGTTTAGAGAATGAAAACTTAAATAAAACTCAGCTTAAATAATTCTGAGAAATTCAGCAAATGCACTGTTTTGTTTTTTAGATATGAACTGCACTGCTGGTAGAAACCAAACAATGTGCGCGCTGCATTTTAAATGAAAAAAATATACTGTCTCTGACAGATAGTGGGCCACTCTCCCAATTTCAACTACACCTTTATTTAGGTATGGACAAGACATACTTAAAGAGTGTACACTATAAGGTATACAGTATTCTGCAATCAGATCTGTTAAGGCCAATTAGCCGCTCCAGAGGTGCTAGCATGTCAGACTGCAGGATGCAGGCTTCAGCATTTTGCATGTTTTGAACTGTTTTGCTCCCTTAGCATCAGAAAGCCAGCTCCTATTTCCATTTAATACAGCAATGTAAGTTTGGTTCTTAAAGATGTTTCCAAACTATGCAGCCCAGCCACATCTGCCACAGATAATTCAGTGCTTTCAAATTAGCTCTGTTTTAGTAAGCCACTTTTTACTGACTGGTAATTGCTGAACTGCTACGAGGATTACGCTAGCTAGAGAGATGACAGTCGAAACACAGGGGAAAAGAAAGAAAGAAATAGGTTTAGCAAAACGCAGCAAAAATGAACGAAGGAAGAGGTAAATATTGCTTCTTTTTGCTATAAAGAAAAGGGAGAAGAAAGGGCTCCTGCTGAGGGACTGCCCTCAAAAAGATATAAAAAGGCAGCCTGTGTTTGGCGCCTACACTTCAACCTGCATATAAAATGAACACACTTGGAGTTTGTTTCAAGAAGATAAGGGGGGGGGGGAGAAAAAAGAGAGGAGGATTCTCAGCCTTGCCAAATATTAACTGTTGAAGTCCCGAGGCCGGGCAGGCAGGCCTGGGCAAGCACGGCCCGGCCGGAGCAGGTAAGGCAGGTGTGGGTCTCTCAGCAGACAGGAGCGTGTCCCGTGCCGGGCTCGGCCGTGAGCCAGCAGCTCCCCCGGGCGGAGGGAACCGCGCACGGGCCGCTCCCCAGCGAAAGCGGAGTGCGGTGGGGAGGCTGTTTTCCCACGAGAAGTTGGCCTGCTCCGCCCGGGACGCCTCTCCGAGGAGAAGGAAAGGTCAAGGCCGGGGGAAGCTCCAAGCCCTTCGCCAGCTGCCGCGGCTGGGAAATGTCCGGACGAGGAGAGGGAAGAGAAGCGCACACGTGACATCCCGCGGCTGCAGCGCAGGACCAGGCCCCGCAGGAGGCAGCTGCCTCCCGTGCTCCGAGTTGCCCCGGGGGAGCGGGGCGGGCAGGGCCCGGCCCCCCGGCTG